TAGGCAAAAACATATTGTTAGCCTACCCTATGAAATTAATTTCCATGAAGAAAAAATTCCTACCAAAGCTAGACCAATTCTGATGAACCCTACACTTTTGGAAATTTGTAAAAAGGAAATTGCTGAATTATTTCAGAAAAAACTTATTAGGAAAAGTTCTTCTCCTTGGAGCTGTTCAGCATTCTATGTTGAAAAAGGTTCTGAAATAGAACGAGGTACTCCATGATTGGTTATAAATTACAAACCATTCAATAAAGCCTTAAGATGGATGAGATATCTCATTCTTAATAAAAGAGATCTTTTAGATAGACTTGTTAATGCTTGTATTTTCTCAAAATTCGACCTAAAGTCTGGATATTGGTAGATTCAGATTGCTGAAGATGATCGCTATAAAACTGCTTTTAATGTTCCTTTTAGACAATATGAACGGAATGTCAAGCCTTTTGGTTTAAAAAATGCCCTTTCAAAATTTCAAAATATTATGAATGATATCTTTAATCCCTATACTAAATTCATAATTGTATATATTGATGATGTCCTAGTTTTCTCTGAAAATCTAGAAAACAATTTAAACATCTAAACATTTTTGTCAAAGCAATCAAAAGGGCTGGCTTAGTATTTTATGCCAAAAAGATTAGCCTTTGCCAGATAAAAATAAGATTTCTGGGACATAATATTTTCCAAGGAAGAATAATCCCCATTGATAGAGCCAGTGATTTTGCCAATAAATTTCCAGATGTAATCAAGGACAAGACTGAACTCCAAAGATTTCTTGGTTGTCTAAATTATATTGCTGATTTCTACAAAGACTTAGCTATTGACACTAAGTCATTATTCCAAGGACTAAAAAAGAATCCTCCTGAATGGACGGATGTGCATACTTCAGCAGTTCGAAAAATAAAAATAAAGGCTAAAGAATTACCTTGCCTTACACTCTCCGATCCTACTGCTTTGAAAATTATTGAATGTGATGCTTCAGAATGAGGATTGGGAGGGATTTTAAAATAAAAAATTTCAAATACTGAGCAGTTGGTCTGTTTTACTTCTCAAGCTTGGAATCCGACCCAACAAAATTATTCCACTATTAAAAAGGAACTCCTAGCCATTGTCCACTGTGTAACAAAATTTCAAAGTGATTTACTCAACCAAAAATTCTTAATTCGTACTGATTGTAAAGCTGCAAAAGATATACTCCATAAAGATGTCAAAAATCTTGTCTCAAAATGGATCTTTGCTCAATGGCAATGTATACTCTCTTCCTTTGAATTTGAGATTTGAACACATCAAAGGAACCACTAATTACCTTCCTGACTTTTTGACTCACGAGTTTTTGCAGGGGGGGACAGGAGGAGTTTAGCAAAAAAAGGAAAAATTGGAGATCATACCTATTCCAAGTAAAACCTTGGCATCATCATCATCACCAATAACCCCAAAACAAATAATCAAAAAACAAGCTCAGGAAATAACATTTTCTCCTGAACCAATACCAATAGCCATAAATACACTTGGAGAAAAAAGTAGATTTATAGAAACTTATTTTATAACCATTATCATAATAGAAGATAATTATAAAACCAAGGACCCATGTGAAATAGCTACAACATATTTGAATAACCATTTACATCCTAATAACGGAGAAAGGACTAGAGAATGGTATGAAACCATTCTTCTTGAAACAGGATCAATAACCTTGGTCCATTTTTATAAAAATAATACTAATATGATAGCATATTCCAAGTTCCAGATACGCAAAATAATTTCATACAAAGAGTGGGGTGTTACCCCCTGAAACCCAGGAAAATGCAAGTTGAGGGCTTCAACAATAAATATTATCAATAGTTTGAATATATTAAAGCGTGGCATGAAGTATTTGCTTTTCAAAATGATATGAATTCTCATACATGGTTTATACAAATAAAAATACCAGTAATAGGAGAATTCCCAAACTAGTTCCAAAATTAGTTCTAATTATGGGGATCCGGAATAGAAATACTGCCACCCAATATACTTTATGGCTTTATATCAAATCCCAAAATAGATATCCATATGTACTTTATGTCTTTATATCAAATCCCCTAGATCATGAAAAGGTCCTACCATATATCTGAAGATTATATAAATAAATGGGAATACATACCTGAACTGGGCAAACAAATATATATAAAATGGTGGGATGTTTATGAAAATGAAGCCCTAAACCTTGAAAAAATAAAGATGAGAAGGGTACCACTCTCACCCCCAAATACAGAAGTAAATATGACGGATTACGTAAATAAAATTCGTCAGCAAAATCCTAATGCAATTAGAGAAGAGCTCAAAAAGAAGTTACTACAGATATTCGATGAAGAAGAAGAAGCCATGTCTACGTCAACACAGAATGAGGAAACTTATGAGTCATAGAATGAAGACATGGATTATGGAATATGATAATAAGAAAAATACAAAGGACAGGTCGACTGCAAACTCAAAAGCACACGAGCCCTCAAAAATAAGCTGCTAACATAATAGTAACCTTCTATTGTTCATACCTTTTGCTTTCAGTCAACTCAAAAGCCTTGTTCATACCTTCTTCCCACCGACAACATCTATCGCCAACACCTGTCACTATTACCTACCGACAGCATCTGTCATTGACACCTTTAAGTCTCATCATCACGAGGCTACTGTATGGACCGACACCTTTAAGTGTCATCATCACGAGGCTGCTGTATGGACTTGAAATAAAAGTTTGGAGTCCACCATATGTCTATAAAAAGGGGAGGAATTCTTGAGTGTTGGGGTGGGGCGGAAAGAGTGTTCTGAAGTTTGGAAGTTCCTAAGTTCAGAGTGGTGACTCATGTATAGTTTAAAAAGTTTTGAGTGTTTGAGTGCTGTATGTGTGATTGTCACTGGGATCGTTTACCCAGTTACTGTCCAGAAGAGTGGATTGCAAGTGTCAAATGCAAGTGCTTCTTTTTCTTTCCATTTATGGCTGTAACCATATTTGATTATATATTTTGAATCTATGTTGTGCTATTAAATGTATGCTTTGTTCTTTGTTTTTTATGTTTGAATGTATGATGTGTTCTTTGTTTTTTTATGTGTTATTTGCTATATTCCTTGAGTGATATATG